ATATATACAATTATATATTATATATATATATATATATATCCTGAAGAAGAGAGGTTCACTCTCGAAAGCTTGTCTTTTTGTCTTTTTTGACATCTTGTCTACTGGACTAATACGGCTTACCCATTTATATTGCACTATAGTCGTGGTTGTGGGGATCTGACATCAAGGCTGGCTCCACCCATTTGTTGTCATGCGAATGACAGGCCACTGTCCTTAGGTGATTTAAAGACTGTGTGAACCAAAGAGAGCTGAAGCCAGCCATACTCAGCTGAAGTGAATAGCTGAACGGTGTTCAGCTCCCTTCACTTCGGGTGGGTTATTCACCTGGCTGCCTTCAGCTGCTTGGTTAATAACCCCTTAGTTTTAAATATTATGGTCGTATTATCCATAACCTTTTCCAGTGGTACCCATCAAATCTGTCCAGGCTGTTTTAGAATATCGTTGTAGATTAATCAATAATGTATCTCTTTTCACACATTCTTTGCTTTACTCATGGCATACATAAAGACATTACCCGGACTGGACCATTTATACTTGAAAATGTTGAAATAACTGTAGGATATCTCCAATTGTGATAGATGCCTATTTCTTGCTTTTTCTTAGGCAGAGTTGAGTGACCAAGTAGAATTTTTCTTGGCCGTCACTGGGGATGTCTATACAGTACTCCCCCTACCCTCTTCATACGTACTAGTATAAAACATTAACTTGATACACATGTGTATATTTGGACAATGATCTTTAGTTAGAAAGTTGTTTTGGTGGATGGATCATAATCATCCAGTGGCTGAGCAATAATCTGCAGCTAGTTTTACAATGCATCAAATTATACCGAGCATACATCCATAAGTAACCCTTGTGAAATATTTGCTTTAAGTTAAAAAGCTATATAATGTAGTATTTACAATGCTTTACTTTTTATTTAGTGTCATCATGTCTGCTGCTGCTAAAATAGGTTGAATTTAGAGTATTAGTATTCATCCCTGCATCATGGTGAGTAACACAGTATTTTGCTTCATATTTCCTGAGGTATATAAACACAAAATAGAGCTGGAAGTATTTGTGCTGGAACGCTGGGTACATGGTTACCCAGCTATGACAAGCTAAGCAAGAGGAGGGTCTGCCAAGATAGAGGAATTAAAAACCCCCCAAAACATAGCCAAAAATAAACACAAGGATTTCATGGGTATAGGCATGAAAACATCGAAATACAGCTTTTTCGTACTTACTGTGTTCTTTTATTTATTCCATCTATTGGTACTTGGAGTTTTGCTTTTAAGTATATCAATGTGGCTCTGTTCCAAAATAATTTAGCACTATAAAGATTTTGTGCAATTTCTAGGTTTTAGCTTCATTTTTAAAGCATATTCAGTATGTAGAAGGCATTACTGTTTTTTTTCTCAATCAGCAAAATACAATTTTTCAACTTGACATGCTGTGTTTCTGTATGATACCACAGTGCAGACATCAGAATATTTGTACTGTTTGTGATTGCATTTTTTTATATTTAAATATGTATTATGCTATAAACTTTACATGATGGAAAGCTATGCATGGTAAATGTACATCAAGGCCATTCCACGATAGGTTCAGAAGAATATTCCTTTTTTTAAAAATTAAAAGCAGAGATTTCTATTATTTTCTTACCTCCTACAGCTTGGGAAATCTGGCGTTGTTGTTTTATTGTATTGTTCCTTTAGAATACAAACAAAATAAAATCAAGAAATAAGCAACTAACCTTTCCAACAATGTCTGAGATTTTGGGGATTGGTTTTCCTTTTTGGTGTTGTATGGTTGGTGGACTCTGTCCATCCCAGTCTTGGAGCTCTTCAATGCTCTTCAGGTAGAGAAGTGCCTTTAGACCAGTACAGTAATCATCAATCAGTGTAAAGTCTTGATTTTGTATGGCGCTGCACACCTAGAGTTATCCAGACAGAAAACATATGAATCATTATAAGACAAAACTAGTTTCCTCTAGTTGTCTAGGCAAGCTATTTAATGACAAATACTAGATTTCTTGCCTATTTCTTTATTAAAGTATACCTTTAAAAAAAAAACAGCAAAAATATTTTTTTTCAAAAAAGCTCTACATTTTACCATTAAAAAGCAGTCATTGAGCTCCAGTCTGGTCACTTTACCTAGGCTGAGATTATGTCACAAATCTGCTGCAGGCAAAAGCAAGCATTACCTTAGTCTCCTCTCCCAATGATTAGACTGAAACATTGTAACTGTGTAGCATGGCACAAGCTAAGTGGCTGCAGTAGGGGGGCTAACCTGTGTCAGACAATTGTATACACAACTAATACGGTAACTGCACAAGTACCGGGATTTACATTATTATGTCATTTCTGAGCCAAGGCAGTAGATGCTGGCCCTGAATGAAAGTCTTTCATGAAAGATGGCTTGATCTGTCTGGAGTGAAAGCAAATAAGGGCATTTCCAGGAGCATATAAGGGCATAGTCAGGGGGAGTACTATGATCTCTGTAAGAGGTAATAAATAACTGCAATTGTTGAACAATATTTATTTATCAGTCATTCACTTAATATGAAAAATATATCTGATCCAAGCTCCACCATATTCCATAAAGCAGTGCAAATAACTATCAAATGAACTTTCTTTATCCACTTACATCTCAAATAGTACCTAATTCAACTTGACACATTTGTAGATCACTAAAATAGAAAACCTCAAACACATACAAGTAAGCTATGTATTTTTAAGCGAAAGAAAGTACAATGGTGACAATGCAGAAAATATTACAGGTTTCTGGTTTTCTTAATAACATTTTCAAGACTCGGTTGCAGTTTGAATAAGGCCAGTGTGCATTAGATGGCTGCGCTGTAATTAACGGGATTTCTCTAGAACTGACTGTGCTTCATTACACTGTGATTGCTTGCTTACAGAGAAAGTCAATACAAAGTTTAGCTTTAAAAAGATGCTTTTTTTTCAGTGACTATAGCATTTAAATTTCCCTTAACCCCAAACAAACAAATGACTAAAGATAATAAAACAATAATCCAACAAAATAACAAAAAAAGAAATATGGGTTCCCCACAACCTAATGTTAAGCTCAATACAGTTTTTTGTGTGGTGCTGATTTTTTTGTAATCATTTGTTACATTTGGGCCTAAAACTGTAATTTGCCAGGCAGCATGCACCTCTTTTCTGTCTTAAAAAACTGAACGCTATATATATATATATATTGTATATATAGTATTTATTTTCTCTGCTCTCTATTTAGAAAACACAAAACACTGAATCCAGTGTCATCAGTGCACCATGTATTAAATGTGTATCCAAAGGCAAAATTACCTTTTTCACTAAGGATAGGGTGGGGAATTACTAAAATGCCTGCAAGGAATGTTTATGCCCTGCATTTTATTATTCCAATCCTTCACTAGAGACACAAAGGAAAGTGAGAGGAGAACTCTCCAGAGTGAAGGAAAGCCACACCAAGCAGGTTGTCACCGTAACAGGTGTCCGCACTGGGGATTTCTCTTTTTTACTGTTCTGGTGACAACTCAAAATGTTGGATATTAACTATTATTCTCAGTGGCATAGAAGACTGAAAGCAACTGGATTTTTCAAAATAAACACCTCTTTAGTATTTTGTCAAACATGGGTAAGTAAGTTGAACGAAAAAAATACAATAGAACCACGTAGAACTGGCCTGATTTTTTGGTTGCCCTTTTTAAAACATAAAGTTGAATATCCCAGATAGTGGTATTAATATAACAGGAGGTCACATACTTAAATCTGGCAACAGTATGCAAATTTGCACAGTGAGTGACAATGTTGGCAACCTTTCAGCCAGCATCCCTCAATCAATTGATAAACGGAGCTGGTCGGAAAATCTTTGAATGAACAGAGAAGGCAGCCAATGCAGCCAAGGCTCTGTTTGGGTATTAGTCAGCTGATGTCCGAATACAAAAGAAACAGCAGGTGATTCCTCGATCATTGTTCATAAGTGTTGATGGAGGAATCTGTTCTATTTTTTCATTCAGTTCTTTCGGGTTAAAATAAAAAAAATAGAATAGTGTATGGCCAGCTTAAGAATCTCATGCTATCAGGATACCAGCCTGAAAGTGTAGTGTGCTGGTCTGGTATTCCACAGATGAGGAAGATTGTGTAAGAAAATAAATAAGTAAAACAACAATTAAAAACCTGTGGAATGAAAAATTGATTGAGTCACTCTAATAGCAGTAAATGTTAATATAATTGAAACAAGGACACATTGTTTAAATACAATTTCTTTCATTTCAAGATGATTTTTGAAACTTTTAGCTATAGCTGATGAGAAGCTTGACTTTTACAAGTGCTCGATTAAGAGATATCACATTACCAATTCCATTAATTGCTTTTTGACATTTTCCAATGTTAATAGATCTGCAGCTGATACAACCTTCATGCAAACTTCATAGGATTTTGACAGAAATTAAATATTTTTTTATTAAGACTTACAGTTTGTACAATGCCATAAACATTTGTTGTCTATTTTGGGGAAACCATTGTTTATCAACCTTTAGGATTAAGACCAAGCAGAGGAAGTAGGAAAAAAAAACTGCTGTCAAAGAAATATTCTGACTTTTAATCATTGAATAGTTTTGGCAACTAATGGGCAAATGGTGTCTCCAGTTTGTCCATATATGCCTTCATTTAGGCAGGATCTGTGTTTCTTGCTAATATACTATCATTCATTTTATCACTGTAGGTCTAATTTATTCAAGCTGAAAAAAAAAGAAAATGACCACAAAATTAGGGCTGCTGTCAATAGCAACAAAACACTAAATATAGAAAATGGGTATAACCACTGCTGTTGTAAATTGAGCAAATGAGAGACAAATGCTCAACTGCAATCATAAATTCCAAGACCAGCTTAAAAAATGCATGCACTGCTCTGCATGTATCCACCACTAAATTAAAGACATAGGGGGTGATTTACTAACCTAAACACACGCACGCACCAGGTGCATGTGATTTTCACACAGCAAAACGTATTTATCAACCAAAAATCTCTAAAAGCATATTTCCACTAATGCCATATATGGAAAAATCATGCAAATGATGCATATATAATGCTGCTTCACAGTTTAGACAAAAATGGTTAGCTCATGCATTTACATTCCTGCATTCATCAACACAAGCAACACAACATAGAGCTAATTTACACAACATCACCTTGCAATTCATGCAGGGCTTTGCACAACACACCTGCTGGGCGTGTACACACTACAAAGGTGTTTAGATTCCACCCATAGATCATGCTGGGAGGGAACACACTACAGAGGTGTATACATGTTCGTGGTGTGTTTATAAGGATAGTAAATCAACCCCATATTCTCATTTTTTATGGTGATTGGGCAGGATTAATCCAATGCCATTGGCTTACTGAAACCTCACTGACAATGCATTAAACTGTTAACTTGCACGTGGGAGAAATGGGGAAAAAAATTATAGTAGTGTAAATATTCAACATTCATTTCAATTCAGTGATTCGATTTCCCTTATGCCTCTTAAAAGCCCAACACAATTTAAAGAAACTTAGGGAAACAATATAACCTCACAAAACCTCAACTAATGGAACATGTCCAAGAATCACATTCAGGGGCTTGAATTTTCCCATATTGCAGCAATCTGGGCTTTTCACAAAATTAAATATCATCCAAGGCGAGCACAAGAATTCACAGCACATAATATATTGCCAATATACCAAACCCATTTGCTTAATTGTAATTCATCCTTAAATGTGATATAATGTGCTATGAAATTGCTACAGTTAAGGTCACTCTGGTGATTCCATGACCAATTTTAGCTTGATTCATATACCTCCCTTTGCTAAATCTCTCTTCCCCAGCTGCTGAAAGGGCTGTTTTATTTGCAGTGTTCACAAGTGTCTTATCCACAATCTACTGTCGTCTGGCTAAAGAATGAGCACTTAGAAAATCTGTAAATATTTATCGTTGACATTAGTTCTACATCATGAATTCTTGCACTAATCATTAACTGCTACCCGATTAACTTACCTTCGATCCGTGAGCATGTAAACAGCAATCTGCTCTTAGCTTCTGCTCTTCACAGGCTAAACTGCATTATACTAACTGGCTTGCAAACTCAATTGACAAAATATAGGGGAAAAACCAAATGCTATTTTCCTGAATTAGAAGCAGTAGCAAAGCAAGGGTCCTAATTCCTGCACCCAACATGACTAGGCTGAAAGTATTTTATGGCAGTTAGCCGGTCCTGAATGCATTCCGTGGCCTATTATGGGCCAATTTCTCTTTACAATGCACCCAGAATTAGAGACTATAAGGAAATATAGGAACTGTAAAATTGTAGGACTTGACATGGGAGTAGTAGCAAGAAAGTTCTCGTAATTGTTTGCGGATTTAAAGTTCAAGATGTTGAATTTGCATGTTCTAAATATGGAAAAGGAACAAACTTATTTTTATGAATATGAAAACCTACCCAATTATAATGTTGCAGTGGCTTAGACTGTTAAGATACTCTGGTGATGATGATAGGCAGATATTTTAAACTTTAAATTGTAGCCCTACCAGCTTAGGAACTTTGGCTACCAACATTTTTGTGCAACTGTGTAAACTGGAGATTGAGTTTCCACTAAAGTCTCTAGGCACAAGGACACTCAGGCACATGCCCTGGATGCCAACGTATAGCAACACCTCTCTACCTGGAAAAATACTTGCTACAAATTTGACTCAGCAAATGTATACTCTCTTATGGTTCACTAAAATACTTTGATGAGTGTGACGTACGCCCGGCCCGAACCCGGTGTATGCCAATCACACGTGACTATACACAGTTCTGAACCGAGCGTGGTGTCACAAGGATATGGCAATACCACTCTCAGCCTCACCCTGCACAGAGATTTCCCAGCTTGCAGGACAGCAATCTCAGG